ACTCTCAGCTCCACACGGTCCTTTGGCTCTATTTTAGCTGTGTTCTGGTATGGGCGGGAGTGTGTATGTGTGTGAGTGGGGCTCATACATAAATGTCGATTTACTTCATTATACATGCATCTTGTTAAGTGAAAAGGGATCCTTTTCCTTTTCCAGTTGATTTCTGATTTCCATCTTAGATAGCGGTGACGACGATGAGGGTCTATCTATGGCTGGTACCGCACGACGGGGCGTAGCGGGGCGGGGCGCTGAATCACCGGACTAGTCAATTGCTTGTTAAATAAGCAAATGGCTTTGGGAAATGCTGTTTGCTTCTGAACCGACACTGACACCGACACCATCGCCGTCGTCGTTGTCGTCTTCGTCGCCGTCGTCAGAACTAGCCGACCAGCAAATGGGCCATTTATGATTCAAGGACAATAACCTTTCATTTGAAAGTGGGTTTCTTTTCTTACTTCGTCGAGCATAAAATGGTCTGCAGCCGAGGCGGAAAATGTGGCAAAGGCTGGATGGCTTAACAAATTATCGTCTATCGTTTGCTGTGGACGGTTTGTTTTAAATTTTTACGACTTTACATCGAATCATCGGCCCCATCATCCAATCTAAGCCATGTATTTATTTTTGCTGTTTCCAATGCTCCGGAATATCCTCGAAATCCGTAATCCATTATACCAGCAAGGACTTATCATCACAAAAGATTGAGATGGAAAACATGTGAATGCGTGTGAAAGTTTAAAAGTAAACAGACAAGCCAAGTTCTTGGAAGATGATTGTGTGTGTGTGTGTGTGTGTGTGTGTGTGCCTTACATACAAACAAAACCCATATCACCCTCACCTTGCGCAAAAAAAGGATTTCCTCAGATTTACTTATCGAAGTGTTATAGTCGTCTTACGCTTTCCGCCTGGCAGCGTTGGGCGGGGGGTGTGGCTGTGCGATTTCTTAACAAAATCTTGCGACAAATGTATCTTTGTCAAAGATGTAGACATGGTCTTATGCAGGATTTTGACAAAGGGATTCAATTATTTGCGCATAAAGGAGCACCGATATTCTTCCCATGACTTTGCACACACTCACACACCCGATACTTCCCAGTCCACACTACTTATGTATATCTACCGGCACACAGAGATCTCCACATAAACTCCCTCCCCCTTCCTATTCCAATCGGGGAACACAAACAACACCAACAATTGCACACATCGAAATCCAATTTCTAAAGTTGTGTAATTGATTCGGACCAAGATTTCAAACATCCACCCATCCATCATACAGCTGCTATGCTTTTGTAGTGTGGGGAGGCGGGGGTGATTTGTGTTCCAAGGAGTGGGCTTGGTAAATATGATGGCGGTGCTTTAATATCAGAGTTGATTTAATGTTTTATTTGTTTCGGCTCAACCCTTTTCATTAGACGCACCAAATGCCAAGTACTTAACGAACCTTTAAAAGTGTCATTAATCATTTTATTCGAGGGTCGCTTTTTATTGCTGCTGTTGTTGTTGTTGTTGCTGTTGTCGAACATTAACTAAATGAAATGGTTGTTATGTCGTCGTCGCCGTCGCCGTCGTCATCGTCATCGTCATCAGTCCATGTCCTTCTTCTCAGCCCACTCAGCCGTCATGTGCCGTTTCCCGGGCGCCCAATTGGTTTGGTGTTCGCAAGACTTTTTCTTGTTGATTTCTTTGTTCCACACCATTGCAGGGGTGGCAGACACGTTCAGTCCCTCGTTGTCGGGTTCGTTCTGTTCGTGCTTGTGTGAAGAATGTCGGAAATCTGTTGCGCCGTTAAAGGCAAACAAACTTCCACACAAGTCATCAATTACAAGAAATTAAACAAACTCCGAGAACATGACCACCACCCCTCTCCCACCTGGTGCCACTGGCCAAGTGCCAATTCACGTTTACATTTACATCACTAATTGTTCTTGCCTTGCTGTGCAGCACATTCGCTTCTTTACACTTGATTTTTCTCCGAGAACTTTAATTCGGAATCTGTCCAGAGATAATACTAATTACATAACATTGACAGCTCCTGCTGTGTGTTGAGGGTGAGCGTTGCTCTATATTTCGGTTTTTCTTTTTTAATTTCATTCTTTTTTGTCTTCATTTCACTTTGCTAAATAAGTTTGAATTAAATTTGAAATGCGATAAAGGGACCGAATCAATGAATGTTGACATGACCCTTTGCACTGGAGACTGGCCGAAGCACCAGCTGTATTAGTTGTGGCCTAAGCATAGGGTTTCTTTGGTAACACGGGTAAACAATGGTAAGAAGGTAAAAACTGCATCCTACAGAGAAAAATCAAAATCCGGCCATGTTTACTGCGACACAGTAGTATTAATAAGCCTTTAGCGGAACGGGTTGATGGGATGTACCAACGTAAAAGTGAGTATAACCTTATTCAAGGACAATGTAAAAAATGTCCACTTCGAGGTAGTTTAATTTGCTCGTTGCCCTTTGAACAATTTGATAAATATTGGAAACAATCCAATTGATGTGTCTCGAAACACCTCTGCCTAGTCAGCACCTTGTCAGGGAGCCTATGTTTCTGGAATTATTTCGGAGCTTCTCTAACAGGTTCATTTCTAAATTTTTGAAAACGACATTCGGATTTTATGCTATCAAAGAGGGTGCAAATTCATATTAATTGATATGTCAAATGGCCACTTTTGAGGTTATGTAGATTTTTGTTTCTCCAAAAAAACTAACCGTTTAATGTGAAAAAAACCCCAGATAAATATTCTCCAATCCCTCGGTTTCAAAAAGAAAAAAACTGGATAATAGAGTATGTATCCTTTCCTTTTTCAGCAACGTCGATGAAAAATGCTTGAGAGTGACAAAAAATCGGCAGCAAAATACATTCTAATACAGGACAATTTGTCTTGAGCAAACGCCGGATAATGCGTTAAGAAACCCGAATAGTGTGAACGCAGATTTACATTGAACTTAACTCATATATTCATTTAAAAATGCTTATGCAATTATCGAACTTCGTTGTCTTGCCTTTTGGACCCTAAAAGATAAATGTACATGTACAAATTCGATACGTTCCACCACATCATCCCAATCCCCGTCAATCACGGATGCGGATTGGTATAGTCGCACCACCTCTACAACATCTTAGTAAGCGGTTTAGCCTGCATTGGTTGTTGTTGATTTGCTCTCAAAAGAGATAAGGGATCCTCTGCGATCACTAAGAACCTCTGCGTTCACTTGCCTGCATTTGTATATGTATGGTAGATAGACGTGGGATCCTCAGCGAGCACTAAGAACCTCTGCGTTCACTTCGTTCTACTAGTAACGACAGCAAATGTACACGGCCTCTGTCGCCACCTCAAATTACATAATGGTAATTTTATATTAAATGAATACTAATTATATTTCTGTGTTTTATTTCCGTGAGAATCACCCTCAACTCTCACCATCACATTACATAATTCTTCGCACTCCCCTGAGTTAAGCAGTACATATAATGCATAACCCAATTTTAATCAAATTTTCTTCTCAAACCTGAAAACCGCAATTGTTACACACAGGAAAACAAGGGAGCTGGTGACTTTTTCCGAAATCTAGGTATTCTCTGCCTTACCCCGTGGTAAACATTGCCAGCTCTCTCTTTACTAATAAACAAACGCTGTGTATATAAAAACAACAATAATGGGATTAAGCCTGACTATTTTGCAACAACAAAATACTACGGTATCCAGGACAAACATACCAGCAATGTTGTGGAAATATTTGTTTTTTTTTCTACATTTTATGAGTTTTGACCAATAAAACTGGCCATTTGTGCTAAAATTTAAGCTGAGGGAAATAGTTCAAAATTTGAAATACTGATTGTTACAGGGAAATATGTCCTCCATCCTATCACATTGGTTTGACAGTATGTACATAGGCACATGTATTCGATACATTTGCCAAGCCAAGGACAACCAACCGTGGCAAATCCTAAATCCTTTAATGATTTCAATTTCGGTGTCAGTTGTTCGTAGGTACTGTCTTTTACGATTCTCGGCAGGAGCATTCGCCGGCCCCCTCTCTGCTTTTATAATCTGTTGATCTATTTGTACAAATAACAATTTGCGCCGTTCCGTTTGACATTGAGCACGTCCGCATTAATGGCGATGGTGTTGAAAGCGAAGCGGAGAAACAGTCGAAGAAATCTCTCTCGTTTGGCAGCACCATAAAACTGCCGAGCTAAGCCATTTCATTGCGGATGGAAGATGTGTTTGGAGGTTTCTTCTTGGCCATGTACGTGTGTGTTTGGGCGCCGTTTCGTGGGTCGTGCCGAATTGAAGATGACATTAAGTTTTCATTCATTTATTACTCTTGACGGCAGTGCATTGGCTGCTTTCGGTTCGGTTCAGTTCAGTTCTATTCGCTTATTTCATTTATCACCCGCAGTGTTGGCATCTACATCAGGGTAAAAGGTGAAACGTGTCAAAATAGGCCCGGAATGATTGAGTAATTGTGTAATTTGCTGCCTACTGCTGTGAGTCTCACTATCATTCTCTACACGTTATGTCCTGTCCTGCGGAATGGGTTCGTGGAGAGTCAGACATGTTTTTGGAGTGACACCGTCTTTCCAAAATAAAATATTGAATGGAGGCGAAATTCCACCTTCGGTTGTTGTGGAATCGTGAAAAGCTCATATTGCCATGGCTATGGTCTAAACGTGTTTGTGAATGACCAACAGAGGTACTATCGATCTATTGCAAGCGATAAACTCGAGTGGTAGTAGAGTGAAAATAGAACGGCGATGAAGATAAAACTGATGGTTGACGCGGACACTTCAGGCGGCGAACCTAAGCCAGATTGGTTAGATAAAAGCCAAGTTGGCCAAACAAAACAATCTCGGCGATAAGGCCGCCAAGAAAGATGCCTAGATTAAATGCAAAATAATGGTGCTTTGAGAACTGGCCGAGTGGACTGGAGGCGTGCTATCTAAGAATTCGCACTGATAAGGAGTGGCAGTGGTATTTAAGCCACAGCCCGTGCGAATGGGTGTGTTACAAATCAAACATTCGCGATGAAACTCGCTACAAGTTTATTGCTGCTGGTGGCAGGATTTGCCTGCCTGATCCACGTCAGTGTGGGAGGTGTGGTCGGTGTGCCCACCGATCTCTTGGAAAACCTGAAGATCGCTGACGACCTGCCCGAAGCACCCCCAGTAGTGGAGGAAGAAATCTTCGAACGCAATGTAGTCGTTGATGTCCTCCCCGAAGGCCGTGCCAACGGTATGTAACATTGGAGTCCAGTAGACAAAGTTCTCAGTAGTACTCATTCGGGATGATTGTGTTGTATGTTTCAGAATGCCAGATTACTATTCGCACTGGTTTGAGTGAGCCCCAACCTGTCTTCCTGAAGACAAATGCCGCTGAATTCTATCCCTACTCCAACACCGGTGTCATGCAAGTTCATGCTGGCGGTACCTTGCAAATGTTCTGCCCTGGAGAATTCAAAGTCAAGGCCACCAAACTGATCACCGCCACATGTGTTAGCGGCACCACCTTCAAGGTCGATGGCACTAGCTACGCCTTCTCCGAATTGGTCTGCAAATCCTGGCCCGGCTTCGTTGCCAAAAAGAAGGGCACCACCTGCAACGGTGGTATTTTGGTGGGCGTTGGCTTTGAAGTTTCCTCCACCCGCTTCGTCGAACAAATGGAAATCTGCTACAACGAACAAGAAGAAGTCACCCGTTATGTGCGCCACACATTGGGCCCTGCCAGCAACTACTACCAGACTGGCGTTGACCGCATCACCTTCCAAACCGCTGGATTCTTCAATGGTAAGAATGTCGACAAGCTCTACACCCAAGCCACCCAACTCGAAACCATCAACGCTGAATTGGGCGGCAATGCTGGCAAATACTTCGACAGCTCCAAGAACATTTACTTGGCCCGCGGACACATGGGAGCCAAGGCTGACTTCATGTACGGTACTCAGCAACGCGCCACTTTCCTGTTCATCAATGCTGCTCCTCAGTGGCAAGTTTTCAATGCCGGTAACTGGGCCCGTGTTGAGGACGGTGTCCGTGCCTGGGTGAGTGCTGCCTTCACTGGTGTGTTGTTCATAATTTCCTAATTTTCCATTTCAACGTAGGTGAGCAAAAACTCCAAGACTGTAAACTGCTACACCGGCGTCTATGGTGTCACTACCCTGCCCAACAAGAACGGTGTTCAGACTCCATTGTATTTGGCCCATGACTCCAACAACAATGGTCTCATCCCCGTACCCAAACTGTATTTCCGAGTTGTCATTGAACCCGCCACCAAGAAGGGTATCGTCTTCGTTGGCGTCAACAACCCTCACTTGACGTTGGAGCAAATTAAGAAGGACTACATCATCTGTACCGACGTCAGTTCCAAGGTCAACTACATCAGCTGGAAGAAGGACGACATCACCGCTGGCTACTCGTATGCCTGTGAAGTTGCCGATTTCTTGAAGACTGTCAAGCATTTGCCAGCTCTCACCGCCACCGGTGGTCTTCTTGTCTAAATCGTCATCAGTCTGATCTGAAGTCAGTGTGACAATTCAATGACGAATAAAAACATTTGAGAAATCAACCTTGTGTTTGTTGTATTATTGAAGCAAAAATCAAGTGTTCCTGCGCTTCGATGTTACCGTATCGTTCACTTTGCTGACCGAAAGATAGCCACATAAACAAATTTTACGCCTTCAAAATATTTCTCACGACAAGAAAACGATATTTTGATTTTTTTTTTAATTTACCCGACAACTGTGAATATTTTCTTTCTGCTAGCTAACCATAAAGCAGCTGATCGAAACACACAGTTTCGCTCTCCTTAAGTGGAAAACATGCCGTCGAATACTGTACCATATTTTTCGTATTGCTATGCCGTGCTATTGGTTTAGGCAACGAATGAATTAGAAGATACACATAGCCAGAGAGTTAAATATTTAAGTAATCTATTCAAATTTGCATTTGGTCCCCATATTTTTATTTTTCCGATTTTAAAATTTACATATGGCCCCGAATTCCATTTCAAATTGAATTTGCCACATTCCACCTCATCAGCTACAAAATCATTCCAACCAATTTGTCCATAACAGGGTATCTGTGTCTAAGAAAACAGCAGGCAAATTGGTGGCGCTTTATGTATCAAATATTCGTAACCGGGCCTATTTCCAAAGGAAGGCATCGGTGGGCCCAACATTATATCTTGTATTTTGAAGTTGCTTTCCTGCAGTGGGGAGTCACTCCAGTTAGTTGACGGTAACTGCAAGCGCATGTACAGCGCCATTCTTTTCAAGAGGCGTAGCAATGACACGTGTGCACTAGAATCGAGTGGAACCATTTTTAAGCTACTGGGTATTATAAGGTTAGTGAATGCAAGAGGTGAACGAAGAATGTTTCGAATTGTTTTCCATTTAAAAGTTATATATAAAGGTTTCCCCCTTCTCTGGGGCACAATGAAATGTCAAGATTTTGAAAAACAAAACGCCCAGATATATTTTTATCTGTCATAACTTGCGAAACAAGTCAGCGATTCTTTATAAATTGCTATATCTAAACACTTCTCTCAATCAGAAACCTGAGATGAATATGGAATTTATGATTTCGCATAAAATTGGACATACATGTTCGATTTTCTTGTATTTTTGTCCATACCAATATTTGTATCTGTATTTGATGAAGTATGAAAATGAAATGCTTCGGTCGACTATATGTGGTGCTACACGCACCCTATTAACATTTTCTAAAATTATTATACATACCTCATATAAAGCGAAGGATCTAACTAATATAGTCCAAACGTGGCACGTCGCAATATTTATACCATATACCATATTTATTTAGGTCCGATACGAAATGGACAATATTGGCCCATTCCTTCGGAACCTACTCCATAGAGGGTCAACAATTTGAACAATCATAACAGAAGTCACAATTTTTTTAAATAATCAAACATTGGCAGAGGGTATACATCTGTCGGCCAAACCTGATACAGCCTCAATTCAGAATATATAATAAATATTTCTTTTCTGACAAAAATGTACATATACAACGTTTAGCTTTATTATTGGTGAAATGTATTTAAAGGGTTTCCTCCTTCTTTGGGGCATGTAGCTCATTGAAATGTTATTTTACAAATGATAAGTGACATTCCAATTGCTAAAAAAAGGTGAACATGAAAATAGTAAGTGTTACTGTTTAAGACGAAAAGAAACCTCAAGGATAGAACTCAGTATTGTCTAGCCCAAAATCGTAAGCGGCTATACTGCTGGAAACCAGGGACCATCTCACCACTTCTTTGGGTGGTTAATTTACGTGGCTATAATCACAACACTGAGTCAATCAGATGTTGAATACCTCTCGATTTTGCCTCCACTTGCATCGATTGTCTTGTCGAATTTGTGAACTAAAGTACGACCCAAAACTCCAAGTGTGCGTAGAGATAGTTCAAGGCTGCCATAAAAGATGTGCTCAACCGTTTCCTGCCTCTGTGGCAGGTCTTGTCCACGTAGCCGTGCAGATTACAATTTGCAAATGGTCCCCTCTGGAGTGACTCCCACATATATCTAGAGAGAGAGAGTGCAAGCAGATTGTGCCCATCTACAATAATCTATCCCCATGTGGTCGGATTTCAAAAACATATTGTTGATAACAAGAAACATCTGCGGGATATTTGAGCTATCATGCATTGACAACATTCTTTTACTCATTTTAGCGTTTTAACGCCGCTCGACGGTAAAGCTGGATTTGTCCATATCCGCTTTTTCCATTTGCACATGAGGGACAAAGAACAGCTTGCCTCTCAGATTGTTGAAGGCCGCTGTGCTGGCTTTATAAATTTTAAAGAAAAAACCAAAGCATTACCCCTTAACTCGCTCGCCACCCCCTCCCTACAAATCTGTTTATTGGCCCTCCCTTAGTTTGTTATTTTTGTGTTTCTTTTTCCCTTCTGGTTTGCTCGCTTCGTTGGTAAATCCATCCGAGTGTAAACACAAAGGAGTAAATTTCGTGCTGTGTTTTTATTCGCCTTGTCCATTGAGGACCAAAGTAAAAAAGTTGCCGCAACGCAAGAGGAAAAGTTAAGAAATATTCAAATGAAAGCGTGTCACGAAAAATTGTGTGAATTTCAATGTTCAAATAGAATTCAAGGGAACTGCGACATTTCTACAACAAAAGATGTTTTGGTTTTGATTGTGTGTGTGTGTGTGTGTGTGTGTGTGTGTGTGTGTGTGTTTGAAACATTGGCAGCGGTTTATCCAAAATTGGGTTTTTAATTTATTTTATATTAAAAGGGGCAAACGGGGGTTTCCAGTCGCTGGCCAGGCAGTGGAAATAAGGTCAAAAGGGCAAATATAAAAAAGTACATTCTTTCTATGATGACGTATATAGCTATTGTTTCTCTGATCGCTGCAGATTGAAAAGGTTTTTTTCCTAACATAAACCTTTAAAAATTTACCTTAAAGTTGTAAACTGTTTCTTAAATGTCATATTCTGGTTTAGAAACATTCGAAAGACTTTTTATGCCCAAGTTCATGCAATGATTCGAAAATTCTCCGATATTGACTAGCGTTCATTGAAGGGACGGTCGGAATGGTTAACGCAAGAACTGCTGAATCACATGAATATAATTAAAAACAATATTTGTTAGATAGCCAAGAACACTTCAAGAAATCGCATGAACTGATTCCACTGTCGTTATCAATTCGTAGCACCGATAAAAAAGCCCATCCCAACATTCACGTGTCCCGCACAATTGTTGTAGTCCGTGGAAAATAAACATTGATAGGAACATCCAAATGCTTAAAATAGAAATGACAGCAACTTGTTTACTTCCCATAGAAGTACTTGATTTTTCCATCGCGCCTAGTGCTTCAGCGTGAAACATATCTGCACATCATTCAGTCAGAAACATCAGCAGACACACAGGCGAAAGTCCATCGAGCAAAACGTACGATTAGAAGGTTATATGAACTGGGAATCCATTCACAACGATATCGGCTATTAATGATTCTCTTATATAAAATAGTTTTGCCCAAAAACAATAGAATCGCATTTGACACCTTCGCGGTACACACCACAGTTCGAACGGGCATTAGATGTCGTTATGCAAAAGTTATTCCAAATGTGTTTCATAAAGTTTTTAATTTAACTCACAAAAAATCAAACATTTGAAAAGCTTATTTGGAATGGCGTTTCGTTTCGTCTGTATCGACATACGACATACTCTTTTGTGAGCTTTTTACCGAGAATCAACTTTTCCCCTCTCGCCCAGCAGCGATATTAAAAAGTAACGCAATTGCATTGATGTTTGACAGATGAGTTGTTGTTGTTGTTGTTGGCATTCAATATATGCCCAATCTCTTTATTTTGTATTTGTGTACATATTTACGTTCATTTGTGTTGTTATTGTTGTTGTTGTGTTTACAAATCATGTGAGAAGGGCTTTAATAAACTTAGCTTAAATTTGTCTACATTTTATTGAGTTTTATAATAGGTTTTTATTTTTATTTTGTATTTAAAGTAGTTATACGAACACAAACGTACACGCATACATACACATGCAGGCACGAACGATGGCTATGTGTATGCGTATACGCGGCGTACATAAATAAATAAATATACATACATACATACAATATATGCAAAGATATTCATACGTAATAGCTTATTGATATCCAACAAAGTGTTGTTAGTAGGCTACCTTCCGGCCGGAAGGAACTGTAACATTTGGCTGTTTTTTTTTTTTGTTGCTTTTTTGTTTACATATTTCTGCAAGAAGCGCAGCATTCTACGTTTACGAGTACTTGATATATAACATTGGACTACCAAGTCCTACATAAGATATGGCAAGGTTCAAAGAAAATCGTTTGTTTTCCACCTGTTTTTAGTTGTTCCAAAGATATGGCTACGGATGCATTCATACGTGGGTAGATGTTAACAATGAGCTTATTTCTAGATATGAGTGCAAGATGCATGTTGCAGGTGTGTGAGTGTGTGTGTGCGCGCGTATATTTGAAGGTCATTCAATTTGAATCGTTTTTATGGAGAATGATCAAAAAAAAAAACAGCATAGCAATTCCTGGGGGCCTGTAATGACCCATGTTATTCTATACAACTACAAGGATGTCGTTGAGAGACAAACTACATTCCTCCATCCTCACATATATTTTGTTTTGTTATCAGATCAATGGAAATCGCCATGGACTCATACCTTTGCACCCAATCACGGCGATAAAAGCCGCAAAGGAACGTTATATTTTCAATGGTCTCGCAAATATTTGTTTAACCTATCCCACATTTGAAATGGTTCCGTCCGTTTGCCTTTGGCCTTAAAACGACCTCCCGCACACTCAAATCGCTCGAGGTTTCAAATAGTGAAAAATTGTAATCATTTATTACAAATAAGGCCAGTGTAAACGATGCGGACCCACGCTGCGTAATGTTAGATTATAATTTATCGGTATTTGTGTGGTAATAATAATATGCTAACATATTCCGGTGTGGATGGAACACACATACATTACATTTTACACTCACACACTCTCACACCTCCAATTGGCATTGCAACAGGTACTAAAAGTATACACTATACACATACATACAAACATAATCTTAATTAATTACTGTTGATAAGAGCGATTGTATGGCTGCTGTTTTTTTTATCGGCGCTTTTCTTTTTTTGTGGCGGGGGTCATCCTTTTCGCCCCACTGTCATCTGGAACAAATTGCCTGCCGCTCGGACAAACCATTTCACATCTCAAGGTTGTCGCAATATAAGTGTAAGTGTATGTGTGTCCGGTTGTCCGGTGTATAAAATCGCATCTGTGTTGTTGTTTTCTTAAACGATCCCCCAACCAAATAACTTCAAATATACTGAGCACCCATGTTACCAGTTACGAACAGTGGGCTTTTAAAGGAAAATCACAAGTTGGGCATAGATTTCCACGGATACAAGTAGGACCATTAGCAACACATTTACACAGCTGTACAGGCGTCGGTATGGACGTCGGCGCTGACATTGATTTGCACCACTGAGATGTTTCCGTTCGTCCGCATGTCCTGTTGCGGCTGTAAACCAGTTGTTTCCTGCATCTCCAATGCAACCTGGCCAATGTCAAACGGACGCCAACGACGGAGTGCTGTCATAGGCCACGAGTAGCGAATCGTTCTCGTCACTGCCGCTGCCGGCACTACGCTCCGACTCATTTATGACTTCAAGGCGCGTTTCGGGATGGGTAATTTTGTATTTGTTGTGGCGTTTACTAACCAATACCGACCGAATGTTATTGTTACGCTGTCGGTATTTGTGCTCGACCCGCTTGTGATTGGGCGAGGCACCCAGCATGGAACAATCACTGCTCTCACCTTCCTCGTCGTAGTAGTTTCCATCCTCGTCCTCGTCGCAGTCAAAATCATCGCCGTCTTCATAGTCGTACAAATCATCGTCCTCATCATTGTCATAGTCATAATCGAGATCGAAGAAGGCACAACATCCGAAGCCTCCACCCGAAGCTTTGTGGACGACACTGTTGCTACGTGGTCTCCTGTAGTAGTGGTGGTAATGATGATTTTGGCATTGTTGTTGATGTTGCTGACATTCGCACGGTGTCCTCTTTGAGCGGTCCATAACTGGCGACGCCGTTAAAGCGGTCTTGGCCTGTATTTTGTTTAGAAGGGAGAATTGCTGTTATCAATCGTTTTGGTGATCTATATTACTTCTTGAGCATGTGAGCTGGGCCTAGGAGGTCCCCAATGAATGCAAGGCATGTAGCCTAAATATTAAAATCATCCGAGTAATCTAATGTTCGGTGCACAATCTCCAAGCTCACAACCTCCTCTTTACGAATGTCAATGAAACAAACATTTGACAACAAGATGCAACAAAATGTCTCACACCACAAACTTGACAGCTTTTAAAAAGCTGCATGATATGCACAAGATTCAATGGCTAATGAAATACTCCCAAAACGCGAGATGGTTAAATTACTTTTTATTCCGTTTTACAATTAGTTTTTAATTATTTTAAATTTTTGTATGTTTCCTACAGCGCCTTTTAATATCTAAAGGTAGCAGTGGTGTGCATTGAATTCAAATTTTGTTGCATAATGTTGTACACCTGTGATTTAACTTACCTCCGGACCTTTCCACGTAATTCCACAACGAACAAGGTTATAAAATCTTAGCACGCCCCACATGGACAGAACCTGAAATATATAACAGATATTGTGTCGGAATATTTGATAAATATTTCGGAGTTAGATAGAGCGTTCACAGCAAAGGCCACTGAAATAAAACATAATGAAGAAGATTTTAAAATTAAAATGTAAGAGTGTAATGTGATGTGGGAGTAGGAGATGAAGATGAAGATGATTAACGAGTCTCTACAACAGGATTACCTCTTCTGTTCTTTGTTTTTGTTTGAGAATGCATGTTTTCTAGAAATCTGTGTGACCTTATCGTGTCACAGCTCAGGACACTACCAAACTTTTTTAGAGGTTACTTATTTATTTAATTGATACATTTATGCAAAGCTGAGATAATATGATAATCTACATCACTACAATATGGTAGAAGCGCCCTTATGTCTAAATCCATTTTCGCTTTTGAAACTATGTTATAGAGCACTGTCCAGATATTATCCTTAGCTTTTTGACCAGGGACATTTGCCCAATATTTATGCACACCGTCGAGCTGTTAGTTTTTGTGGTCCAGTCTTCCAATCGTCATCCAAAATGCTACCCTCTCTTCTCTCTCTCTTGGTCTTCTGTGATCAGGAAAATTTTTCTGTTTTTGGTTCATTTCAACCACTATATATTTTCCGATCATCTCCAAATGCAAGAGGTACCTCTGTATCTTCAAATTTAGACCCATCTATATTATTTGCTGGTCTACGATATATTGCCATATACGTCAACAAAATCAGCATAAAAAAAGACCGAGGATCGAATTTTGTGTATTTTGGATTTCGGCTGTAAATTATTTTCAGCCTTCCGGTAGAATGGAAATGTATTGTTTCATACAAAAGTAGTGGTCCATCACACATCAGATCATACCATCCACATCAGAAACATTTTAAATTGTTGGTCCATTTCCGCAATAGGTCTAGCTCTACTGAGCCTATTATTACCCTTCAATATTATAAGTCAAATTGAAAAAAATCGCATGATAAAAATAAAAATTATGAAAAAAAAAAATTATCAGAAAATACTATAAAATATATATTAACATCATTATTCACGTCATTTTATTCGGGTTTCTATATTTTATTCTTCTGTGTCAAGATGGCATTCTGAATTGACAAAATTTGTCAAAATTGATGCAGTCATTCTTGAGATATAAGCATTCTAGCTAACATCCCTTTCCTTTGTACATATGTACACATTGTTTATATTTCACTATATATATACCATATATTTACTATCCGCATCTACGTAACGGTCAGATTTGACCTTTTCGTCTATTTGTGATTTCGACGGGATTAAAAATGTTCGCGGTTTAATGAAAAAATTTACTTTTGTTAAACACAAATGTTATGGTCTATTTCACCCACTAAATATTACCCGATGACCATCCAAATTTTATGCGATCATCTCCAACAGCAATAGGCTTCTATTCCGAACTTACCCCCACCTCCATGCAAAATTTCGTGACGATCGGGCCATAATTGCGACTTGTAGTTTGATTACAAATTAACATGGACAGACGGACGAACATACATAGCTAGATCGACTCAGCTCGGCGAGATAGGAAGATCCATATATACGTTCCTATGTGGGAAATCAATATTTCGAGGTGTTACGTACTTTTTGGCCCAATCAAAATTATAATACCCCCAACACATAGTGTTGTAGGGTAAAAATATTAAAATCGATTGGAATGAGTGCCCTACCTTGTTTTCATTGTGCCATGTCTGTGTGTATATATTTATATTCAATTGGAGAACAGAACATTTGACACATTTGTTTTTTTTTTTTCTATTCTATCCTGAAAAATGTATAAAATTTCAACATGCAATCTAAAGTTGTGCCACTTTCTTAGGCATCATTTAAATCTGGCCACAGAGACGCATGGCGACAAAGGGGACGAATGTGAAATTTACACCATATGGTCATTTGCTCCGAAAGCGCGTTGGGAAGATATAAAATCGTTTGTGGCGGATAAACCCTTTTGTCAAAAAACATGGTTTCCACTGGTCTATTGGCTGGTATTCCTTGTCAGCATTTTCGGATCGGTTGGTATTGCAGCCCAACGTGAACAAAGTCAACCTTTGACCATTTCCAGATTCATAGCCTGTATGAGTTTGTGACCCTGCTTCGAACAGCAAGTAAACCGCTATCCCTTTGGCGTTTGAGAAAATATCACGTCCTACCGCTGACCCTCTTGAGACGGTGTCGTTTATTTGGATCGTTGGTCACGTTTAATTGTTGGCTAATGCTGTGCTATGCTGTGGTCAGGGTAAGTTTTCCGAAATCTATTTTCACGTCATCAATTTCGTAGTCCCCTCAGGTTTCTCCAAATCATATGACACCTTGGTTGACCTTAAATCTTCTGATATTGGTCTTCGAGACATTCGCATGGCTTGCAGAGGTGTTCATGGGTTCCACTCACATCGACTTCTATAGCCTATTTGCATTTGCTCTGCCCATTGTGAACTACTGGTTTGTGAGCTGTGTCCAAAGAGTTTTCCAAAAGTCCATCGATTCGCAGGATGTGGATGAAGTGTGTTTGTGGTCATTTGGAAAATGAAATAATAAGTAATACTGAGGACTTGAAGTCGCACAAATGAAAGAAAATCGCTGAAAGCGAAATAAAAAAGGAAACAAACATGCCATGCACCCTTTATGCTCTTTTACTTACGTTTATGAAAGCGCGAGCTATAAAAAATGCCACTTCCGCTTTGCACATCGCATCGAATTGCTGAAAAATAGGACACAAGAATAAATATGTAGGTAGGTAAAAATATGTGAGGAAGAGAGCGGAGCGGGAGGGGGTGTTATAGTAAAGCTATTATTATTCTTTCGATTCAACTTTCAAAGTACTACCTACCTGCCTGCCTACACACAAACAAATAGAGGCGCTTGCAATGTGAGGCAGCATGGAAGGCAACTTCACTCTATGCACACAGAGTATCCTGTGCACAAACCCCCTCACCACTTCCACGAAGCGAAGTTCAAATAAAAATGCACTAACACTCGCCCGGCTACAAGCGTACTTTGCTATGGACTTGAGCGAAAGTTTCAAATGTTCGTTACTCGAATGACCCTCAACAACGCCAACTTTTTTCCACCGCCCTAACCAAGTTGGCTGCTAAACCGAGTCTATTTCTTTCCTTTAATATTCGAAGTGGATTTCATTCATCGCCGATCCTGCTCCTCCACAGATACCAATGGCAGAGGGATGCCAACAAGCAGCAATCATTACCATAATGAGTTCTTTGCTGCCAAAGGCCCCTCCTGCGCCGCGGATAAAGCACGGTCAAATTCCCAGTGAACCTTGCAAATCACTCTAATATTGCTGGCTGAAACAGGTAAACAATGGCGAAGAGTTTGATTGCAAAAGGCTCAGTTCTGCCGGGAACAACTAACCCTCAATTAAAACCGCTTAATAGATTATCTAATATTCCCCCCAAATATCGGGGGAGTGATTTGCGGTGTTGTCACAATTACATCACCGATACTGTGAGCCATGTTGATGTGACGGCAGATTCTTATTTTAGCTGCCACCCAACGAAGGGTGGAGTGGCGCGGAAACAAATTGCCTGTTGTAAACTTTCACTATTCGCCTGGCATTGATGGTGTCGGGTGATGTCAATTATTTTTATTGTTGAAAAATCGTCATTGTCAGTTTTTCTGTGAGTTTTCCGTATTGTTCGTATTTGAATTCAGTTTCTAGAAAAACCTGACTCCCGGTTTACGTTAGACAATTATTATTGTCAGTGGGTTTGTGAGAATCATTGATCCAGGGTCAGGAATCTCTGGTGTTCATGGGAAAGTTACGAAAGTTACTTATTGCCAGGGAAATATGAGCTTTACATCAGACCATTATAGTTGCCAGGAATCGCAAGCTGTTCAAGTTTCGACGTATTAATCATTTGCCATTTTATTCAATTTTCCTGTATTTTTGTAAAACCCAGCATTAGCTCTAGCATAAACACGATGAGTAACAATCACCATAACGTCCAGCTCCAGCCCGTTTTTCCAAAACCAGTCTCTATTTGCATGTCTTATTCTAATTGATAAAGCTAAGTGCAGAAAAGCTCAATTGTCAGCTTGTTGGTGAGACAGATTTAAAATCACAAGACTTCAAAATTTTATTAAATTATAGTTACCTCCGCTTGGAAGGCTTTCTAAAAATGTGAGGTTTTCTAACAACAACGAACGAAAAATGGTTGCAAATGGTTTCAAAATATAAATGACAAATTCCAACATTTTATGTGGAGCTAAGCGCGGTGAAAAATATCTAAATAAGCCCACGTTTCAGATGGGTATATTCATTGTGACAGCATGGTAGAGTCTGGAAGGCAACCTCATTTCAAATAAGCACATCCTGCTGAATATTTTGGGACTTTTGAATATACCCGCGACCCTTTCCAATTCCGCGTTTTTACACAATTTACAATATTTTAGTTATTTCCGTTCCTTTAATGAATGTGAACAAACTTCGTCATATCGATTTTAACTCAACCGCTTCGTCTGGGTATAAGTGAAGACGTCAATCATAGGTTACAAGTCCACGGAATATTCATTCTGCGATGACACCGCCAGGCTTCCCCTCCTAATCAATGACTTTAAATCATCTGGCCCAGCCAACCAAAAACTTCTAGACTCCTCGAGAAATTCTTTACCCAAAGCCCTACTCTTGTCGCCGCCATAGCTGTTACTGTTTCGAAAAACTGTTTTGTTTTTGCGGCAAAGTGGTATGCAAATTTCCACATGAATTTCTCTAGGCATCGTCATCATCATCAACTCAGAGGGAAGAGCACTGCAGCACAATTAACAAGCAGCAACAGTATTTGAGTATGACCGGCCCCCTATCCTCCCACAACTTGTAGTTGTTATTGTTTGACTTTGCTCGCCCGACTCCATTGTTTGCTGGTGAATTGGCTGGCGTGCTGACTGGTGCTGCCTGTCTGTCCGTCTGTCCGTCTGTGTGGGTGCCAAGTTAGTCGGCCTGATGATTATCATTGTTTATCAATTCCTAAAAAGTTTCCCAGCACAGATGTTCGAAATGAGTTTTTCATTCCGATTTCTTCCCCGCCGCACGTCGCAGAAATCAAGCCAAAATATTCAAAAACTGAAATAGAGGTCGGCCCATAAAAATGACTTCATTGACATTTAACGGCACAGCAAATGATGCCAACGGAATTTCCATCATTTTCTGCATCTGCAAATACCACTGAATGGCGCAATTCTAATAACAAATTTGGATTGGTCTTCCACAATAATGGAAAACATATTGCTGTACGGTTGTTGATGTTGCCTATCAACCACTCTATGAACACTGTGCCGTCCGGACATCGAGACCCTTAGGCCTTTGCATATCTTATTTGCTCCCTCTAGAGTTATTATCGCTTTGTGCTCCGCATTCCAATAACGACGCCTTCGACAAAGGCAAGGAACGTGCCTGGCAAAACAACTAGAGGTCCGAACGATGTTCACACTTCGTTAGCCAGAAAGTGGCGAACTAAAAAGGTCATAAATTTCAGTTGGTTTTGGTTTTGTATGGGGAAAAGTAAGTTGTCATCGTCGCATCATTTCTATTTCGGTCAATGAAATCTCCCTCAAACCTAAACAAGCAAAGAAAGGTCGTCCTTGTTGTTATTATTATTGTGTGTTTTTATTTATGTCGTTGTTGTTGTTGTTGTTTTGTTATTATTACTATTATTATTCTTTTTTTTTTGAAGATCAATGTTGCTGGTGAGTTAAGACGGCACTATCGGGATTTCGATTTAGTAATTTGAATTGTTCAAATGCCGACATTATTCATTGTCAATCTATGGTCGTATGTTCGGTAAGCTCTTTGCAGAACACTAGTCGTAAACCGCTACGTAAAAATAAATCCGCCAGTCATGTCCACACACTGGACTTTTTGCCCCATCCCATTCTTTTATATTTTGAAAGGTCAATGACGACACTCCATATTTTTTTTATTCTACCGTGTCTTTCTATTTCTTAATCATTTTCCAGAGACTGCCTCTGGCTATTTGCAGTTGTAGACCACAGCTTGTGAGCTTTATTTGCAGCATCGATTGAATGTCAGTCATGTTCTTGTATACTACGGTTCGTCGACACAAGCAAACTCGGCAACCTATTGTTACAGTCAGTGAGTGGTTGAAAGCGGGGAGAGTTTTTTTTTTTTTTTTTTGGAAGAAACTCTCAAATTTAGTCGAAGGGAGTAGATAACAATAAGCCCAACTTGGACCTAGGGTTAAGCCTAAAGTTCATGTCACTATAGTTTTGTAAATATATTTGTCGAACAGCATCAAACTAGAACTGAACTTCATACCTCAATTTACCAATCGAACAACTTACCTTGTTGACATGATCCCGCAACACGTTCGAATACACCATTGCGACTGCTTCCAGTGCCATAAATGTTATGTAACCAATGATCCACGGAACAATTAGACCAGGGTTTTCCTATTTGAATGAAATAAAAATATTATCAATAGCAGAAGGCATTGTTGCTGCGAGATTGACAACTTTCTGGGGCATTACAATGATATACAAGTGTAGAAAGAACAATCAAGTTCTTTGGATGTAGCTTAGATTCCGCTTTTCATTAAAGAATATATTCCTGAAGTACTAGAACAGTGTTTGGCTTGCTTGTTTGGGATACCATAGTATTTTGTTGTTGCAAAATCGTCAGGCAAAATCCCATTATTGTTGTTTTTATAAAAACAACGTTTGTTTATGAGTGGAGAACGATGGTAATGTTTACCAGGGGGTAAGGCAGGGAATACCTAGGTTTCGGAAAGAGCCACCAATCCTCATCAGATCCCTTGTTTCTTGTCTGGGATATTCTCCCCAGAAGTTATTTAAAAAATAACTTCTATGACAAAAAACATTTTTTACCCAAGTGACGAGATCGTAAGCTCAATAGAAGAGGAACAAAAGAATTACATAAAACTAAAATTCTTTTGGAAAATCTTCTAAATCTTACAACCGCACTTATAAACTTTGTTTTGTCTGCTAAAACTAATCTATCTTAACCTCATCGCAGACACACAATTATTCTTATCTATTCTAATATTGAATGGAGAACGTTGCAGGGCTGCTTGTCAGTTCATTCACGTGGTCTTGCATATCTACGGAAACAAATTCAAATAAGCATATCCAACTCTTCATTTTATAGAGATATTTGAGATATTTTGATTTATAGAGATATTTTGGCAATGAGATGTTGTCAAATGAATGATTTTGAATAAATTGTAAACATCTGATTGCGTAACAGTACCTTCTTAATTGTGCCAAGAATTAGCCCTTTGTGAAATACTTATTGTAAGATTAAAAAATAGCGTTGATTGAATGACCAAATTTATTTATATTGTCCTAAATATACTAAAAAAGTCAACATGCTTGTTCTCGGAAAAAGGGAAATTAAAATGATTTTCTTTAACCAATTTTCAATTGAAATTTAATTCCCTCTGTTGCCATATGGCTGAGGGTATGAAATGTATATAAGCATGAGATAGCCTCTCATAATTTTGCCATGATCTCTTTATACTTCGTTTTTTTTTTTTCTTTTTGATGCAATGTAAATTGGGGAGGAAGATCAGTTGGTAAGGGAATCTATTAAGTTCACTTCACCAGTTTCTTATGTGCACATATGGTACAATTATTTCAAAGATAGGGCATAGGGAACACCTGAATACAATTGTTTTATGACACAGTTTTTATACCCTACAACACTATGTATTATAAGTTTGATTGGGCAAAAAATTATGTAACACCTCGAAATATTGATTTCCCACATAGGAAAGTATGTATGGGTCTTCCTAGCTCGCCGAGCTGAGTCGATCTAGCTATGTATGTCCGTCCGTCCGTCTGTCCCTCTGTCCATGTTAATTTGTAATCACTCTACAGGTCGCAATTATAGCTCGATCTTCACGAAACTTAGAATGGAGGTGGGGCTAGGGTCAGAGTAGAACCCTATTTCTTTTGGAGATGATCGCATAGTATTTAGGGGTCGAAATGGACCAAAAACTGAAAAAATGTCGGATTTTGCAGTAGCTATACAGGTCGCAATTATAGACCAATCGACGCGGAACTTCCCATGTAGCTAGTTTAGTAGTTTAGGGTAGTTTAGTAGTTTAGGGCGGGGAAGAAGCCTACCAATTTGGGTGGTCATCGGATAATATTTAGCGGGTAAAATAGACCATATCTTTTGTGTTGAAATTCAAAATTTTTCATTAAACCGCGAATATTTTAAATCCCGGCAGAATCACAAAGCCTTGACAAGGTTACTTCTGATCTTTACATTGATGTTAACATCCAACAAAACGGATATAGAGAAAAATATGTGCGATATATATGCCTATCAAAGAAGATATGCTTGAAAGATCTCTTATATGTCGAGAACGGCTGAACTGATTTCGACAGTTCTCATTAATTCAGAATGGCCTCTTGGCAGGAAAGAAACAACGTCTAAAAAATCGCATAAAAATATATCTCTAAAGATGAAAATATTGATTTTGTAAAATTTTCTCATATTTTTTTCAATTTTGTCACATTTTTGGCATATTTTCATTTTGAATTAAACATTTGGTAATATTTCTACAGCTAACAAAACTAAGTAGTTTGGATATCAGGATATCATATACAGATCTCATTTATGGCCCGATCCTAACGAAATTTTGCATGGGGGTCAGATGAGGGTCAGAATAGAAGCTTACTCTTTTTTGGAGATGATCGCCATATATTTAGGGGTTGAAATGGACCAAAAAAACTGCAAAATTGTTAGCAGGTCGTAATTATTGCCCGATCATCACGCACATTTGAATGGGGGTTACCGGGCATTGCAAAAGCCAAGCAGTTTTGGATTTCCATCCAAAAATATTCAATGTGTGAAGTAGTTTGCCAACTTTTGTAGACAAAATACGAAAATGGCCATTCCCGTGACTTTTTGGAGAATTCACAAATACAGGAAAGACGCACTTCTGAATATTTCGTTAACGCTGATTTCGTTGAAGAATATAGTCAAATGTCTGTATCTCATATAGATGCGTTTCAGTCAAAAACCAATAATAAATGTTAATCTTTTGCCACTTCTGAGAGATTATAGGTCTTTGGGAAATATTGGTTCCAGATCTAGGAAGACCATTTACGTGCAACATCTTCCAATAAATTGGAAAAGTTTAAGTTGCTATTATTCGAAAATTAGAGAACGAAACCTGATGGTTTTCTTTTATTATTTGTCACAATATCTTGTGGAATTCTTTCGAGTATCTCGCCTATATAAACTGTATCGTTTATTATAGTGTTGTAGGGTATTCAACGGTCGGCCTCGCTCGACTGTAGCCTTTGCTTACTTGTTTTTTTTTTTTTTGTTTTTTGAATAGTATTCAAATTCTGTTTAAACCCTCGAACGGCCATGTGGAATAGACTAACAGCCACCGAGGGAATTCTGGAAGTGCCAGTATTAGTATTATTAAATTTCAAAATTAGATGCCGATATTTCATTATAAAAAGTCTCACTAGCGCCTCGACAATCCGTTTCGAAATTCATAATAAATCAACCGTCCAATTCTAAAAAATGTCAAACTCTCCCCCACACTTTTTAACAATACATTTATATGTTGGACTGCCCTTTGTACCCTTTGAGTATTTAAAGCTGTTTAGGCACTTCATTATTCAGCATTACTTGAATACTTAAACAAATTCTTCGAAAATCCTCCGGCCGTAGCCGAAGACAATTATTTCTTCAAATTTCATTGACATCAAGTCCTCATAACTTAAAAGGTCTTGTGATTAATCGCCATTTATGACATTTGTCTATCATTGCGGCAATTTGCTTGTTTTTGTTGGGAAAGCAGATTTACTTGGAAATGTCAAAAGTTGGTCGTCAAACCGTTGGATTTGTTGCTACGTCACTGTGGGAAGCGCCGTGGCTCGTGGCCATGCAAAACAAGATGTTTCATTAACCAATTCTAATTTGGCTACTTGAGATCCGCTTAATTTATGCTGCCCCAATGAGGGTCTTATTTTCCGCTTGCACTGTTTTCGGCGCTGCTGATAGCCTTTGCTCGGAAAGTTTGCCTTTACGCGACAGCATCGATGGGAAGAGATGAGAGAGCGTCGTGTCATGCCATGTCGCTGAAGGGTATTTGAAGTCGATGGAACCCCGTCTTGTACATCGTTGCCCAGTTTTTGCCCTGTGATGCGTTTGACTGACATTGACGTTGCCTTTCGAATCGAAGAAAGCATTAACCAAAATAAGTAAATTAATTTTATGCAAATGAAATAGACATCACAAACTTGCGTCCGCACATACACATATCTCAATCAGATCCCTTTGTCAGGAAAAAACTCAATTCAAGAGAATAAAAATGCTAAATGCGATAACATTAAACCATCATTGTTCGAGCGTTTTGCGTCGGTGTGTGAGTTCGTCAGCTAGACGTGGGTGTGTATCGGGTAGATTACAGTTGACTCTTTATATGTGTACACTGCACAAGGGTCCTCCAGAGATGAGTGTGCATGTGCACAAATACACAAGTGCTTCAATGTACGTTTCGTTTCATTTTTTGGTCCGCACGAGAATCCTGTCTGTTCGTCGTAGCTCCTCAGTTGTCCTATACCTATACGCCACAGTACGTTCAGACCATCCTTAAGTGCTATGAGAAGAAATGCTCATCCACTCATGCACACTTGCATATACCGATGAGTGCCCGCACACATGTATGTGTGTACGAGTGTTGGGTAATACTTTAATATCTACAAAATGAAATACATTTTCATTTTATGGGAATTCTGTTGCCTTTGACTGCTGTGGGGTCGCTCGTTCTTCTGCAATAAACCAAATTTTTATAGGGATTTTTGAACGCAAAACATCTTCTTGTTTTGCCCTCGTCCCCCTGCGCTGCGCTATTTCAAGTCCATATCCGGTTCAATGTATGTATGTATGTATGTGTGAGTGTGTGTGCATGCGTCAGTATGAATTTGTATTGTGTCATAAAACAAGACTGTCAACACATGTTCAGGATGATATTTTTTCATCAATTTTGTGTTTTCTTTTTTCGTACATTTTGCTGTTGTTGTTCTAATTCAGTTGTTATCTGCAACACCCGACGGAATTTGGTCGGAAAAAAGCAAGGACCCCAACACCAACGAAACAAAAAACATAGTAGTTAGTTTACATTCGCTCATATTTCGTTCCGAATTGAATCTCGTTCGGCACACAGTGACTCGGAAGCGTTGTCTAACGTTCTAACAGTCAGTAATTGTTGTTTATTTCCCCTTTTCTCCGAGATGTGATGTGTTCCAGTTTTTTCTATTGGTTATCGATGAATTTAATTAAAAAAAAAAAAAAAAAATACAATTGATTTTTCTTTTCAGTTTCTTCAGAGTTAATTCAAATCGCATTTAGGGATGTTCGATCGAATATCAAATGGGATGTAATTCCGTAAGGGAACATCATGTCCTCTATTTGAAATATTACGTTTTTGGCTACCTCAGTTGTACTTTCGATGTGATAAAAAAATAAACTGAGAATTAAGTCGATAAAATTAAGTTCTGAACCACTGTGCAGCAAGGGATGAGCATTCTCGAACGTCTTGTATCGGCAATGCGAATTGTGATTTGGCGACAGGCGAAGGGTGACAACAATATGTTGTTTTTGAAATAGGATCTGTGTAAAATTACCTTAAGGATTCCATAAAGCAGCATCACGCTCAGAATAATCATTGACATTTGGGTTCCAATTATGGCGAAATAGGCAATTTGGACTCCTGAAAATAGTCGAGAAAATTTAAATTTTTGTTATTAAACTACGGGCATATTTTGTAAGTTGCAATTTGTGTGTCGGATGAGTCGCGTCGGTTGGGCGTCGGAAGAGTAAGCCGGTGTACCGCCCAAATTGTTGTACAGTTGAACTCAAGGAAACCCTTTCGCACACATCATGTTATCAATTTTGACAATGGTGCTTTAAATCGGCTTGGACTGCAAAAGAGGTGATCGAAAATCAAAATGCTTCTTTTTGGCATTAAATATTGAGCTGAACATGCATGTACCACAAGACATGACGATTTATGAAGTCATCCAATCGGACCAGCTAATAGCAGAATTTTTCTATTAACATTCCGAAACACATTCAATTCTAATATCCTCGAATATGTGGAGGGAATTGTTTTTCTTGCATCCTTTTACTTCACTGGACTACCCCTCGACACTTCGTACCACTTGCTAAGGTCGAATCGCACACTCACACACATACGCAAAAAATAAACAACTTCCGATGCCAATGCCACTATTGTCATTGAGAGCGTACCAGCATGATTGGTAGATTTGCGGTCACATCGATTTTGTCAGCAATGCTCTCTTGACACGGATGCCAACTCAATATTTGCATGTCATTCGATTGCAACTGGGAATTGATGCATTCAGCTATCATCGTCGTGGTCATCATTGGGAAAATTTCTTGTTTGCATTGGGTGGTTGCTGCATGCCATTGTTTCATGGCTTCGTGTGGGCAATGGTAATGACGGCGTGCGGAGGAACAGCACCGTTGGTAGCACACAATAGTTTCTCTCCGTATCGGTGCGGTTGTGGGCATCTGTTGTATTTTTATACATTGGCCATTGAAGGACATTCTGTGATTATCGTGTGCATCTAACAAAAACGATACAAGTTGGCAAGTTGTGGTTTCTATCAATTCCATGGATGAATAGACAGACAGACAGACAAACAGACAGACAGACACACAACCCGACCATTCTTTGCCCAATCTCGTTAACCAAATCATAGTCCGTTTAATTGAAGATGCCAATAGACTTCAGACGGTCGATATCGAGAGACACTCGCACACGCATACACACAAATTTGATTTTCCAGTTGAGTCAATTACTCGTGTACCCGCATTTTGCGGTACAGAAGCGGGGTTGGAGACGGATGCCGCCCATAGGCTGACTCCACAGGCATAGATGGACGCCTGTGCCCGAGTGTGTGACCATTGCAACTTTGCCCATGTGTGTGTGTGTGTGTGCATGCTTATGTGAGTGTTTATTGCCTAATGAATTACTTACCATAGTAGACATCCTCCAAGTCGCCGGACTTGTTTATGTTGATGTTTATACGCCATGAGTATATCAGGACAATCAACAGTGATATATTCTGTAAGGAAAGAATATTACACACATTGGTCATTTATTCATATACATATGTAAGCATACGAGTGTATGTGTACTAGTCGTGGGTGGTGCGGAGCAGAGGGAAACACCCTGAGCTGTTCATTAAATAATTGCTATCAGTTTGTCCTCACCGCTCAGCGATGGTGGCTATCATTAATAATGTCTTTCCCCATAGCCAAGAGCTACAGCTTTTGGGCAGCACAAATTCATTATTCATGTATGTTGTTGTTTACATAACGGCTCTACCTGAATCACCTTCTCCCGCAGCAATAAAGGTGCTACAATTTCGATACATGCAGCGATGTATGCGTAGCCCAGCTCCAAATTTATTGTAGATTCATGCAAATTAAATTGTTTTGAAATCTGGACCTCTAACACACACACGTGCACACATACGTATATCACACCCCCCCCCCCCCCTCGAAAAGCCATAAAAAAATAAATTTATTTTCTCGACAATATAAATAAAAAGCTACTCGACTCACATTCACATTCTTCTTCTTCTTCTTGTTACTCCTCTTCACTTCATCTCTTGTTGAGCGTAGTTTGAGTTCATTAATAATATTAAGAGACGCCATTTGTTCCTAGATATAATAACCACGTCGTAAAGCAAAGCTAACGAAACAACATCAACAACTATATCTACTATATCTAGTCGATGAGATAAATTAATGGCCGGACATATGTTATCGGAGAACCAATTCAAGTTTGTTTTTGTCTATCTGTGGCATTGGGGACACCGTAAATCAATGTTTTAGTGAAAACATTCTTTCAGGGAATAGGTTTGTTATTCAATCGAACGCTGGCTCAAACATAGAGCAGGACTTTGTTGGCAATCGTTGGGCTCAAATTAAAGATAAAATTGAATAAGTTGTAAGTTTAAGTTAGTTAAGTCTCATATTCAGATACGGCTTTGAACCTAATATTCAGGTAGGAAATCCGATTTGCTAAACGATTTTAAGTAATCTTTTGACCGCATGTGTACAACATCAGAACGACAAAAGAACTACCAATCGAAACCCCATTTTAATAAATTGAATATCAATCTGAATCTGCGGATTTTATAGAATAAAATAGAATCTTTAAAGTTTACGTTCTTAAATAATAATAACAAATATTTAGAAAAGTATGAGCATTATTTTCTGCCCCTAAATATTAATATTGGCCGAATGTAAGGGTTCAATACGCTAAAGTACGAGTTTGTGCATTAATGCACTTAAAAGAGATTAAAGGTCAGTTCCTCATGCAATTTAGGACGACAAATTCATTACGTTATAACTTATAAATTTGACCTGCATGTCTGTAGGTACGTGCTGACAGGTTTGTATGAATGGTGTCTGGCCAAGCGTTATACGGAGGATTAAACATAGACAGACAATCGCATAGATACATACAAGTGAATGCTTTTATTTGCCGAAACATAATTCCCCAACGGCATTACAGATTCCAAATGTAGCCGAAAAGCCTTGGCTCGTTATTTAAATTCCACGTTCTTTTTAATTGAATTTAAATTAATTTTAACATCAGCATTATGTCCATAAAAATAGTATGTGTGTACGTGCATATATACATGCATGCATGCGTATGTATTGTTATAATGACATCCGCCTAGTATAATGATATGAGCAAAGGAGATCCGTATTCTTTCGTGAGTACTTTTGTACACAACGCAATTACTATGTTACGAGCGTTGTATGAAAATATCACATTGGGAAGGACCGGTCGTACAACAGACCATATTTTGGTGAGAAAGTGAGTATTGCTGTACGCACCGTAACAACTTAAGTAGGAACGTAAACATTTTCGATGTCTAAAAGTTTGTATTTCTATACGATCAGAAAGTTTGACCGGAAAAACGGCTTTTCGATTGGAATTATGGAAGAGTTCTTCTTTTTTTTAGTTAGAACTTATCGGACAGATTCCTGGCTTTGAGATTTTAAGTTTGAGTTGCCATTTCAAAGAGACCTGAATTAAACATTAAAAAGGAATCTTTTCAAGTGTACTTTTTCGATCATGTGAATAAATCCGAAAAAAAGCAGCCAACAAGAAATGCAATACCCTTGCTTCGCGAATTGTAGACAAATTTTAATCGCAGGTAATCGTTTATTTATTTATTCATTTCTTTGTTGCTCTCGCAGACACGCAATGTCATTACGCACAACAACTTAGCGATGAATCTGTCTCTTTTTGTTCTCCTTGTTGTAGAACTGTTGTTGTATAATGGATTTGTTCTAATGTCTTTCTACAAAAACCATTCAAGACTGCTGCAATAAATTGGTATTTCATAAATTTCCATTACTCGCTCTTACCCCCCACCCCCTTAATTATTCGCTCTCAGTTCGATTTTGTTTCGCTTTAAATTGTCCCCCATCCCATCACATCTCTTTCCTCGTTTTTGTTCAATTGGCCTGATTAAAGAATTTGCACACACTCAGCATCGATGCAGTCTGTCGGACCCGACGCGAACAATGCAATATTAAATTCGAAAAGTTAACTAGCACAAAATGTTTTTCGAATTATGCTTTGCAAATGAAATTCCTGCTTCTGGCGATCAATCAACATTCAAGTCAACTTAAATGGTAATCCATTTTAATAATATTTAAATGATTAAACTACGGGGAATTGATGTTGCCCCATTCAATGTTATTGTTGTTGGCAACATGGCGGAGAATGTATCCCTTCATTGTGTTAATGCTCACAAACACTCGCACTAACGAACAAGCTAGACATTTTAAAGCCATTAACGAATCATTTTGAAGAGCCAACAACAAGGGCGATACATTATTTCGTTGGGGAGCGCAGGGGAGCTATGGCAATGGCATAACTTTCGTTCATGCAGCCATGGTGATTAGAACGAGCCGAGTAGTATGTACGGATTCGACATTGTACTTGGGCGCCATAACGGGCTAACGCTTCCAACACAGCACACAAGAAGCCAGCCCGCCAGCCAACTGCGACACCTGAACTGAACTGAACTGAACGGGGGCTGGAGGTGGCTCTGACATACATACATTATATGCCATTATGCCATTATGCATGCAACATAACCAAGCGCGACCAAATAGTCATTGTGTGGTGCTTGAACTCCTACTAATTGCTGTTGGTGCGGCACCTCGCCCGGCCTTGGAGGGTTGGCGGCGTGCATACGGCCAGCAATTTACCACTCACCAATAAAGCACATTAATGAAGTTATAAAAATGTTGTTTATTTGAATTTGCCGGCACTGTTTCAGAGCCGCAAGAATATTCTAGGCACGTTCGGGCAATCAACATAAATTATGAGTGAATTTAAAAGAAAGCCAGTCAGTCAGTCGTCTTTGCGAAAAGCGTGTGCAAGTGTGCATGGTGATGAACAGGACAGTTCATACGGCTGGCTGACACGCTGCGGGTACAGCCTTGGCTTGTAAGGGACCAAACCAATTTGCAAGTATTTTATCCCAAAGTGAGATTAAAAAAGGCGGAAGGGAATGGATGTTTTGCAGACCGCGATTTATGGCCGAGCTCAACAAAAACATATTCTACACAAATAGCCGCTACCCAATCATATCCACTGCTCTACGAAGCGTATTCAGATGGATTTGTCATTGTTTTGACCCAGCCAGAGTATCTGGCAACCAGTAAAATACACAAATTTAAATACTTACTATTGTATAGATGGCGCTTGCTATGGCCAAATTTTTGGCGTGCAACATGCGACAGCATCCGGTGGCTGTCAACGGACCATAAGGATACAGAATCACGGATTTCATTTTTTCCCCAGCTCCAGCAGCAACGGCAGCGGCAGTTACACAACTCTTATGCTTTGATTTCATTTTGTGGAGGGGTCCGACAGAGCTGACGATAGCAACGAGTATCGTTTTCAAAGAGGGCGCAGTGGAGGAACGAGTGATTGACGTAACACTTCGACATGACTCTTATGCTCCAGTAAATCATTATTTTACACAAACGCACATAGCAAATGGAGGTTGGTGCGTGTATGTGTCTGTGACTGCGTCCATGTTGCTACATCCATTGGTAAAACCAGCTATGCGACGGACATCGTTTTTTCTGTCTCCGGGTCCTGCTGTGCAAATCCTTTGATACTGGTATCTGTGTGCTGGCTTCCAAGTTAATTAAACAAGCGCGATGACTGCAAACAGAGAAAAGCAAATGGGGAAAAAAATAAATCAAACAGAAAATCGTAGATTCTAACGTTTAATTCACATTCATGTTAGCAATCCAAATCAATCACAAGCCAATCCATATGCTGGCATATGGAAAGCAATAACTGTTTGCGGAATACACTGATGACTGCATACAACAGGAAGTGTAGAATCGAGCAGAACAATCATGGGAACAAATAAGCCGGACTCTGCCCTAACATTTCGAATCAGCAAGGCTGTTTTTGGCGGTAATTTCGAATCACTGTATTTTATCAAAATAATTCCTCAAAAAATTTAGATACACAGGAGTTCTCTCTTATATGGCCAGGCCGTAGGCATTTGATGAAAAGTAAACACAAATTCTGTAATTCCTCCTTGACTGGTTCCCAGAGTCAAGCAGGACCTGTAACGTGCTACAAAATCTTGTACAATGGGAAATTAATAACACCAAATGAAGCTCAAGCGTTTGAATAGGTAAGATATTTTCGCCACAGAAGTCGGTCACTGCTCTGGGGAGAATATTAATGTGGAATTTTCTGGATGTTCTACATGCCCCTTGTTGATATAATTTTATTGGAGAGCCACAAAGAATAGTCAACAAATTGCATGGAGAAACGGACGCACATTCACTCACACACACACACACACACTCGCTCACTTACCTTCTCAGCATTTTTCCAATAACAAGCAAAAAGTGATTGCAGAGCATATTCCCGAGCGTATGATTTATTCGATTTGGAAACCAAGACTGAAACAATCATACGCCCAGATGGGCCACAATCTTGCACACATGTACCCATACTCAACGTCGTCGTTCTCATTGTTGTAGTTGTTGTTGGGGCAATAGGAAAAATCGATGACACCACCATTTACGATGAGCAGACATCTAAGGGAGAATATCTCCTTTTTATTACGAGCGATTGAAATAAATGTCTAAAAAGATATATCACAGCATATACATTTGTATAGTCACATGCGGGGTGAGTGAGCATGTGGGTGTGTGTGTCCCTGAATACATACACACACACCCTATTGCTATCGAAATCAACGTGAATGGAGTTGTCAACTTGTCACTTCTACCATTGTGTGATATTAATGAGAGTAATTTGTGGTCATTGCTTTTATTGCAGATAATTTAAGAAAACAACAAACGGTATAGCAGCAACAGCAACACTAATAGCAGTAATACAGCTGAACAAGAAATCAACAATTACACAAAAGTTAACATGTCGACACAAATTGGTGCGACGACAAATGTCTCGTTTCCTTCGTTTGCTATTCGTACACCCGACAACTGAAATCGAATGTGCCGACGACACCTCCGGACGAAAACAACCAAACGGAAACCTTAAAACAAACAAAAGCAGCACCAAAACACGGCTGCATTAAAGGTTGTTGAAATGTTTGTCGGAGGAGAAAGAGCTTCTAAACGACAGCGATGGCATTAAAGACATTCAAAAACGCAAAGCCCTGGCAACGAGTTAAGACGCCAACAACCGACGGCGCTCCAAGAACTCAACACCCAAGGCAAACAGCCGGACACACCGGACCGGACAGCCGGAGAAGACGGTGCCTGTAGATGGCAATGTTGCTCGACTCCTTTGGTTTTTTTTTTTTTTTTTTTGCTGAAATGACAAAAGTTTAATTTTATTCAAAGACCGTTTTAATATTTCAGCAATTTGGCTTGTGACAAAGAGTCACGTTGTCCGACAAGAGCTTCGGGCGAATTTTTCATTATGGCCAAGTTAACTCATATTTCAAGAATTCCGTCCTCTAGCTAAGTTAGGTTTTTTTTTTGGACCCGATGAAAAAGTTTTTGATTTTCAAATCAAAAACAACAAAAAACAACAATGAAATAGAAAATAGTTTATTTAAGCATTGGCCAACATTTTGTGGTCACTCAGATCAAAGGAATACTTGTTTGTCATCTGCCTGGCCAGCAAAGGGAATAAAGTGGGAGTAGAGAGATCAAAAAAGAAAGAAACGAACTTGATATTTAATGTGTAGATAATACACGGCAGGTTTCCTTTAAAGCGGATTAAATGTTGCGTTGTTTTTCAACTCCACTCCCGAAGCTATTTAAGGTAGCCTTGGCAATAAAACACCGATAACAAAAGCTTATTAATTTGTCTCACAAAACGCTTTAGTTCTGTATACGCAATGGAGTATATAGTGGAAAATGCTTCGGGGTAAACGAGGTCTAATTGGAGAGCAAGGCAATACAAACGAATGTCCTCAACTCTTCGACCCTTCTCCGTTCCTCAAAATATCAAAGTAATAAAATCAATAAATGTATAATTTCAATAGCTACAACTTGGAGCCAAAATCTGCCATACGAAAATATGAAAATCCGAAATGAATGATTCCAGACCCGGGAAAAGTAATGAGAAATCCCTGTTTATGAACATCTTCGAACTCGAATAGGGAATATACAGAACGGTTCATGATGTACGTTTTAAGCAGCGTTTCCACACTTCCAGTTGTTGAGGAATTTTAGATTTAATGGTTGTCCTTCTCTTGGAACACAAATTTAAAAGCGCTTGAATTGTCTGAAAAACAGGTGTTAGGGGAATTTGATTTTAATTCAAACATATTTACAAACAGGCATATATACAGACTGACAGAATAGCTGATAAGCTTTGGATGGAGACTGAGATTCCAACAACAAAAATCTTTTTTTCAAATTTAATTTATTATATGTATACATTTTGTTTTGTTTTTTTTTTTTTTAACAGGAACAACAACCACATCCAAGTTCTGCTATTGTTGCCCTCCACACAATATTAAATACATTTATTCAGCTTTATTTATATCGACTTCTGTATCTGCAGCAAATAAATCATTTAATCCAACACGTTTGTTCGAAGTTCAACTAAAGATGAGGGGCAAACTTTTTGCGCTTTAGTCCCGGATGTTTATCTGTTTCAAATGTTTCATTTTTTGCCGTTTTTTGCTTCACTTGGCAAGTCTGAACTTTGCTTTCCAACATCAAAGCACACACTGATTTACTCCATGGCACTCCGGCTTAAAGTGGTCGGGGTAAATCTTTTCAGGGCAGATTATACGAAGGAGTGCCATGGGGGTGGGGGTGGTCGGTTGTTGGTGAGGAGATGTTTCTTAGAATCTTTTGTCCATGTTAAATATTATTATCGTTGTCTTTGTTGTAGTTGTCATTTGCGCTGTTGTTGTTGTAGATTTTTGTTATTGTTGTCATACAGCTCAAATAAACGAAATGACTTTTCTTCTGTGGCAATTATGGCCACAATCTTGGCGTATTTACTTTCAACCACAGCACACACGCTCACTTGCCGCACCGAAGCATTTTGGATAAGTAAGCCAAAACAATAAGCCACAATAAGTTAAAGCCACAAACATTTGCAACGTTATCTGTTCGCATGCCGACATACACACACGCACGCACGCCCTCACGAAGGCACACATTGCCAGAGACATTTATGTTTGCCAAGACAAATACGCACATAATCACCCACAATCATTAGATTTGATCTGCTTCTCTCAGGGATGGATGGAGCAGGTCTAGGCGTCCGTCCGAAGCCATTGTATCTTGAAGGTCTTGTCTGCAACAAAGTTGATTAAGTCCATAATTTTCCTAGCCGACGTCCTAAACTCGTTACGCAGCAGTCAGTCACCCAAAAAATACCCCTAAACTTAAAGTAAATCCTGGCGAACAGTGTCCATTTGCAATTGAATGTTTGCCAAATATGAACGTATTTAATTTTGAAATCGTATCCGTCCATCGTCCATTGATCCATGTCTGTTTTTTGCTTAATGACATTAGTGCTCTGCAACAGAATCGAAAAATTAACCCCGCTCCCCGACAATACCACCCCCAATCGCTGCGTATCTCAGAACTCAAAGAGATTTGCTCTTCAAAACCATAACTTTTTGGAGTTAAGTTCAGTGGCAAGTGAACGACCCTCTTCCACATACAAATGAATTTTGTCCATTAATTGTTACTTTCATAACGAACTGAGATGCGATCTGAACCATGCACACACACACACACACATACTCTACTCTATAACGTATATGTGCGTTTGCGTCTTTCAAGAAAATCTTGCGGAGTTTGTCAGATTTAACTGAAATGTGTGTGTGTGTGTATGTTCCTGCACATATTTAGTGAAGTTGTAATTGCTCGTCTAACGACTTTGTTTTTGTAGGTCGGAATTTATTTTATGGCCATGTACATAATTCGCTTCTACAGATTAATCGGCCGAAGCAGTATTACAGATGTACTCTTCAGCAAGGAATGCAGGATATATACGATTTGTCGTTTCGTTTGTAACACATCCAAAGAATAAATGTAGACTCCAATGAATTATATCTGCATGTGTGTGTGCATGTATTAGTAATTTCTGTCGCCGCATTTCAAAGCGAATCTGCTGCATTTTGTTACACATCTGTAACGCCAAACTTTCAGAAACTGTACGTTCATTAATTCAATAGTCCACCCTCAGGTGTCACACTGCTGTTGTGTTCGAGTATTTTGTTAGGACACAATTCAACGGTTTCGAGTTTTCCTCGTTTCGGAAAGAAAAACCCAGTTCGGCCGCTATTTACTCTGGCGTATGAGAGCGCACCAATACAAAGAGACTGCCGCATACATACATCTTTACTTTGACCAAGACATCACCGGCTTCAATGGTTTAGAAAAACCCCATTGAAGTCAGTTCCGACCGCGAAGGGATGATACCTCCAGCCAAACCAACGTTACGAGACAGCTTTGAGCCTTGTTGTCCCGTCCTAAAAACGCTAGTTGGTAGTTAATGGAAGGTTGAATCCGCAATTTAAAAATAATATGAAATATGATGATATTAAATGTGTTATGATCCGTTGTTATTGTTGTTGTTTGTTCCTTGCACCTTTATCATGAAACCAAACAAAAAAGGACACCCAACAACGAAACCAAAAAAAAAAACGAAAAAAAGATGGGAAATTGGTGGGGGAGGAAACAAAACAAATATAA